TTCATTGTGATAATGCACCTCTATTTCATTGTGATAATGCACCTCTATTTCATTGTGATAATGCACCTCTATTTCATTGTGATAATGCACCTCTATTTCATTGTGATAATGCACCTCTATTTCAAAGGGTTTTCCCGCTTTTGCTAATACTTAATTTATTAGTGTGCTAAAAATTGTTTAGTTCTTTGTTGTTTTTTTAACAGTGGAGCCAAATGCATAGTCTGAGAATACCAACTTTTTGGAAGGTTATCCCCCTTAGTTTCAGACAGACGACGAGAATAGGTTTTATTTGATGAAGATTCACGAGACAAAAATAGATTATTCCAATGACCTATTTAAATTTTTTGTTTGCCTGATTGAAAAGGTATGCCTTGATGCAGAAGTGTTGGAAGACCGAACCAGAGAACAGGCCGCACTTCTCAATGCTCAGAGACATTCTGGATCACCTGCTGCAGCAGAACACGGTAATTGAACCAAAAAAACTACCATCCTGACCAACATTAACATAACCCCGCCCCCCTTTTTTTTCCCCCCTCCCACACATTGCCGCGCGTACGGTATTTGAAAACTTCCGAAATAGTTTGAGCAAATAATGGGACAAGGTTTGAGGGAGCTTGAAAGCTAAGGACAGGACACTAAAAGAATAACGTAGTTTCGGCCATCAATAGTTTGACTGAGGACAGGACACTCAAAGAATAACGTAGTTTCGGCTATCAATAGTTTGACTGAGGACAGGACACTCAAAGAATAACGTAGTTTCGGCTATCAATAGTTTGACTGAGGACAGGACACTCAAAGAATAACGTAGTTTCGGTTATCAATAGTTTGACTGAGGACAGGTCACTAAAAGAATAACGTAGTTTCGGCTATCAATAGTTTGACTGAGGACAGGACACTCAAAGAATAACGTAGTTACGGCTATCAATAGTTTGACTGAGGACCGGACACTCAAAGAATAACGTAGTTTCGGCTATCAATAGTTTGACTGAGGACAGGACACTCAAAGAATAACGTAGTTTCGGCTATCAATAGTTTGACTGAGGACCGGACACTCAAAGAATAACGTAGTTTTGGCTATCAATAGTTTGACTGAGGACAGGACACTCAAAGAATAACGTAATTTCGGCTATCAATAGTTTGACTGAGGACAGGACACTCAAAGAATAACGTAGTTTCGGCTATCAATTGTTTGACTGAGGACAGGACACTCAAAGAATAACGTAGTTTCGGCTATCAATAGTTTGACTGAGGACAGGACACTAAAAGAATAAGGTAGTTACGGCTATCGATAGTTTGACTGAGCATCTTCCATCCAAGTTTATGGTTTGGTCGGGATATAGAGCTATTCCAGAACATGTCCCTCATTTTTCAAAACAAAATGAACTTTAACTGATAAATCTTTTACCTTTAGGCTAGTCTTTCTATTGGCGATTTCTGTTGATCAGTTTTTACAGAAACGCTGCTATGAAAGTTTGGTCGAATTGCTGAAAGAAAAAAACAACAAAAAATTATTGCAACTATTATTATTGTTACTAAAGCCTGAATCTGAGTCCAGTTAAACAAAATTACTTTTTTTTACTAGCGTAGACTACGGACATTAGATTGATTGTTCTTGTGATTTATCTCCCCTCAGGAGTACCTTGAGCTGTCCAATGACAACTATTTTTCTTCTAATTCTGCCTGTGGTAAGTCAAACAGTTCAGCCATTGCTGAAGAAGATGCACACTTAAATAATGACCATGTGGCTCTTTGAGGCTTTTCCTACTATGGCATGCCAAACAAAGCCTGATCAAAAGTTGACATTCTTTTTTCTTTGGAATGCATGGCTGTGACACTTAGAAATTTTTAAAGTTAATTTATGAGCTGACCTTTGAACCCAAGTTGTCATCAAAATCATCTCTCACGGTAATTGTATGTATTTTTGTGTCTATCCTTTCCTCAGACAGCGATGACAGACGTCGCAACATCACGCCTCACTATGGTAATGTCTGCTGTGTGAACCAGTGTCCGCCGGATGCATATGTCACCACGCACTGGCCCGGAGAAGAGCTCGGTGATGGGGAGTGCCCGGAAATGTCCAAACTTCTGGTCCAAAGCGAAACGGAGCTGGGAGCCGAGGACAGCCTGAAAAATAAACATTGTAAAGATGGCCACAAACGAACAGGCCGTCTGCTGGTCCACGAAAACCTAACTTATGTTTAGCAGAGGACACAACTCTTGCAGATGGTAGTGTGACAGTTATTTCTCTCGGCTAAAGACAGATGATGTTGTCCTTGGACCCCAACTGATCCTCCCCCTTCTCCTGCTAGTCTTCATTTCCACCAGGTTTTTTTAGTTATTTTAAAACAACTTAAGAGCCACTTGCCTGTTAGTTTCAAAACAGGGGCTCATGAAAAATTCACACACAAACTTAAACAACTTAAAATAATAGCCCCAAGACCTGCCCTTGCTTATATGGCTTCTTGGATATGTCGTTAAAACTTCATGCTGTCTGCAAGTAAAATGTGTACTTTAAAAAAAAAACTGTTTAATAATTCAAACAATGAGAAAAGCTTAGAGGTTCCAATGGGAAATGGGTCTGATATTGTAACTGCCATAATCATTTTTTTATATATATATATTTTTTTTAATTGGTCATTGATAATGAGGTCACTGTGTTAAAAAAATTGTGGCAAAAATAAAGCCTTAAAATTTGAATTCATGTCAAACTACAGCATGTTTTTCATTGGTCCCATTGTTAAGTTAAATGCTGTTTATACTTATTACCTCTACAGCCGTGTAACAAACTGTTGGTCCACCACTAATAGAAGATCACATTCTTCAAACATATACTCTTTAAACGATCTTTTTTTAGTTCCCTCCCATCCAAAAGTGCTTTTGTCAAATGCCCCCACAAATTAAATTAATTTTACATTTCCAATTCAAAATTTTCTTATTTTAATTTTCGATACAGAGCTTAGGTGTATGATGTTAATTTTCCAAACTGATCTGTAGAAGTCTGAAACCTCAGCATGAATGAGATAGGTGTTTTATTTAAACTCTCAGATTACTTCATCTCTTCATTTTACCAGATTAAATGTTGTTTTCGACAGTCGCAGCCGGGAATGGAGTGAAGCCATTTTTAAAGTTGGATGATATGTTTATTTGTGGTGCCTTTCTCTTCAAGCTCTCGCTCCCCTCGTGTGGATACTTCAAGCTGTGGCTCCCCTCGTGTGGATGCTTCAAGCTGTGGCTCCCCTCGTGTGGATGCTTCAAGCTGTGGCTCCCCTCGTGTGGATGCTTCAAGCTGTGGCTCCCCTCGTGTGGATGCTTCAAGCTGTGGCTCCCCTCGTGTGGATGCTTCAAGCTGTGGCTCCCCCTCGTGTGGATGCTTCAAGCTGTGGCTCCCCTCGTGTGGATGTCAATAATTTAAACTTCCTGCTAAACCATGTGATGGTTCATGAATGAATGTGTGAATTATAACATGACAACATAGACTGGTGGTTTATAACATGACAACATAGACTGGTGGTTTATAACATGACAACATAGACTGGTGGTTTATAACAGGACAACATAGACTGGTGGTTTATAACATGACAACATAGACTGGTGGTTTATAACAGGACAACATAGACTGGTGGTTTATAACAGGACAACATAGACTGTTGGTTTATAACAGGACAACATAGACTGGTGGTTTATAACAGGACAACATAGACTGGTGGTTTATAACATGACAACATAGACTGGTGGTTTATAACATGACAACATAGACTGGTCGTTTATAACATGACAACATAGACTGGTCGTTTATAACAGGACAACATAGACGGGTCGTTTATAACATGACAACATAGACTGTTAGTTTATAACATGACAACATAGACTGTTGGTTTATAACATGACAACATAGACTGGTCGTTTATAACGTGACAACATAGACTGGTGGTTTATAACATGACAACATAGACTGTTGGTTTATAACATGACAACATAGACTGGTGGTTTATAACAGGACAACATAGACTGTTGGTTTATAACAGGACAACATAGACTGGTGGTTTATAACAAGACAACATAGACTGGTGGTTTATAACAGGACAACATAGACTGGTCGTTTATAACAGGACAACATAGACTGGTGGTTTATAACAAGACAACATAGACTGGTGGTTTATAACAGGACAACATAGACTGGTGGTTTATAACAGGACAACATAGACTGGTGGTTTATAACAGAACAATATAGACTGGTGGTTTATAACAGGACAACATAGACTGGTGGTTTATAACATGATAACATAGACTGGTGGTTTATAACATGACAACATAGACTGTTGGTTTATAACATGACAACATAGACTGTTGGTTTATAACATGACAACATAGACTGTTGGTTTATAACATGACAACATAGACTGTTGGTTTATAACATGACAACATAGACTGTTGGTTTATAACATGACAACATAGACTGTTGGTTTATAACATGACAACATAGACTGTTGGTTTATAACATGACAACATAGACTGGTGGTTTATAACATGACAACATATACGGTTGGTTTATAACATGACAACATAGACTGTTGGTTTATAACATGACAACATAGACTGGTGGTTTATAACATGACAACATAGACTGGTCGTTTATAACATGACAACATAGACTGGTCGTTTATAACATGACAACATAGACTGTTGGTTTATAACATGACAACATAGACTGGTGGTTTATAACATGACAACATAGACTGGTGGTTTATAACAGGACAATATAGACTGGTGGTTTATAACATGACAACATAGACTGGTGGTTTATAACAGGACAACATAGACTGGTGGTTTATAACATGACAACATAGACTGTTGGTTTATAACATGACAACATAGACTGTTGGTTTATAACATGACAACATAGACTGGTGGTTTATAACAGGACAACATAGACTGGTGGTTTTAACTTCACTTGATTACAAAATTTACTCAAATGATGTTTTGAAACAAGTTGTCTTTATATTCCCATAGACTATTAATCTGAAATGCTTTACATGAGTTATTTACACTCTATAATGTGTGGGTGAGGACAACACATTTTTTTTTTTCCCCCACAAATTTGTATGAATAAAATGTGTTAATGTCAAATTGTGAATTTTTAACAGCAGAAATTTGATTATTCAAAACAGCTGTTACTAATTTAAGCTCTTTTTATTGTTGTTTTTTTATTCAGTGTTGTTTTTTGTTGGTTTTTTTTTTTTACAAAATCTTTGCACTGTAGGAAAACAGAAATTTTTGTGGCAGGCTAAATTTAAATAGATTTTGGTTTCTACTGGAAAATACAATTTCATGTTCATTGATTTAAATCTAGTAGCGGTAGCCTAAATGTAATGTAGATTTATTGTAAAATGATATTCTTTTTTTGTTTTAATACTTTTTACTTAAATGTAATTAACAAATCTATTTAAAACATTAATTTTCTGACATGAGCGTGTAAAGGTAGGGAGAACCCCACCCATGGATGGACGTGTGAGACTACCTCCCATGTAAAAAAAAAAAAACAAGATGATCTTATTCTGTCATTAAAGATGAGGAGAGAATCCCTGGTATAAACATTAGAGAGTGCCTTAAGTCGTCTTCAAAATTTGTGCTAAAATTTAAAATTTTGTTCAAAGTGAATGATTTCTGGCTGATTGAAATAACATGTTGTTTATTGATGATTCTTTTGTTTGTCCTTGGCCTCTTCCATTAGGAATTAAAGTGTTGTTGATTAAATTAGTGGATACACACGCTAGTCCTTCCCCCCCCCCAAAAAAAAAACAACTTGTTACTTTAAACTTATTTCCAACCAAAAAAATATGTTTCCATTTTTTTTTAAAATTAGAACATATTCTTTTTTTTGTCCTTTGCCTCTTTCATTAGGAATTAAAGTGTTGTTGATTAAATTAGTGGATACACACGCTAGTCCTTCCCCCCCCCCCCAAAAAAAAAACAACTTGTTACTTTAAACTTATTTCCAACCAAAAAAATATGTTTCCATTTTTTTTTAAAATTAGAACATTTACATTGTTTTTTGGGAAGAGAACTCTATGATGCTAATTTAAACAAGACTAAATGTTTTAAATGAAACATTTCAGATTTTATATACCTATTCTATCTATTCCAAGAGTAACAAGACCTGCACAAGTCCACTTTGGAGAAGCTAAATAAAACAATGAGGGTCTATGTTTCCCCCTACAAAGCTTTGTAATGTTGCACTGTATCTTCACTTCGGTCACATATTTTATGTATTGACATCATGAAAGCTCTGTTCATTTTGGGGATTAATGTGATCATACTGTAAAGTGTATAGTTTTGAATAATTATTTCTTGATCAAAATTTCTATTCAGAAAAAGTGTTGTTTTTTTTTTTCCAATTTAATTATTTATTTTTTTATTACAACAGATTTAATTTGCATATTTCTTACACCAACAACAACACACACAACAGATAGTTTGTCAAGAGTTGATCATGTTGACCAAGAGTTGATCATGTTGACCAAGAGTTGATCATGTTGACCAAGAGTTGATCATGTTGACGAAGAGTTGATCATGTTGACCAAGAGTTGATCATGTTGACCAAGAGTTGATCATGTTGACCTCGAGTTCATCATGTAGACCAAGAGTTCATCATGTTGACCAATCCATATTCTGTGTTGTCAAAAATGGCAACCAATGACTAATCAATACATAAATTGTTCAACTGTTTTTCTTACAATATATTCTTAAAATATTATAAATATTTAGTGTCTTGGAAGATTGATATTTAAACCTGTTAAACCTAACTCCTATTCAATGTCATAATTTTAATTTATTTGCTAGCTCTTAAGCACTGTCATGCTCTATACAAATAGCCTAGACTTCATTTAAATTAAGCACTGTCATGCTCTATACAAATAGCCTACACTTCAATTCAATGTTTATGTTGGTATTTATCCTCTTTTCAGTTGGTTGATTGAAAGTTGTATGTAAAAAGTACAGTGAATTAAAATAAGAGTATAAATTATGGAATAGAAAATTGTCTTTAAATTAACATTTTAAAAAAAATGAAATACTAAACTTTAAACTCGGATAAAGTTCCCTGTACTAGAGGAACTAACATTGGTCCAATAATGGAAGCAGTCAAATCTGCGTACGACTACGTTACACATGGAAGACATGAAGACATGGCAACAATTGTATGCAAAATGGATTTTTGTAATTCTTATGACATTTTTCAAATATATTTTAAATCAAAGCACATTAAATTAATAAACTCATTTTCTGATAGGACATGCA